TAATCTTTTTTCCGGCTTTTCTGATTACGTCTTGTTAAACTATCTATTTCGATTTCTTCAGCATCCTTTCCTACACAAACCATGATTTCTGCAAATTTGAAGACAATCTATTTTCATTTTTCTTCAACCAATTCCCGCCTAGATTTGAAAAGCTTTCCCGCATATGGTATAATTTTTTTTAGCCTGTGGGACATTTCATTTGTTATATTTTTGATTCAGTCACGTCTTTCTCATCTTCAGATCGAAATAGTAGTTTTGCCTTTCTATATTTTTTGAATTTAGCTCGTCAATTATAATCCTTTGCAGTGTACATAAATATTCAGAAATCGTGAGATGCGGTCTGGTGTGATGGAGGTTTCAGAAAAACATTTTCTTTATCGTGCCAACGTTTCGATCTTTATTGGGATCACCTTCAGAGCCTGGGACATACAAACATTGTTCAAATTTAACAAATACATGTAGGATGTAGAAAAAAGTGAATTTGTACAATGTAAAAAAATATATTTTTTATATTCAATCAATGTATTTCTATTCACTCAAAGTGTTTGTTTTCTGTGTAATTGTGCCATTCTTGCGTCGTGTTGAGAGTGCCAGTGAGATTTTGCTGTTTTATGTTCATATACGTTGGATTTTGAAGGGGTGGGGAATGTATTTGTTAAACTTAAACAATGCTTGTAAATCCCAGGCCCTGAAGATGATCTCAATAAAGATTGAAACGTTGGCCCGACAAAGAAAATGTTTTTCTTGAAACCTACATCCCACCAAACCTCATCTCACGATTTCTGAATAATTATGGACTAACGGTCACTAATCACGTCACATTGTAAATAAATTTTCTTCACTAATCTAATTTCACAAGAATTTGTCGTAGTGTTATTAATGGTCGAGTTATATTAATGGAAATGTATTAATTTATAAATGAAGTAAAAATTTGTTATTCACTTAAATCTTCAATTTTTTATAGTTAAAAATTATTAAATGTTTGCGTGGTTTGTTTTTTCTTTATATTTTCGTGTTTTTTTCCTAAACGTTTTGTACTGTATACATATTTTTTCCAACTCCTTCCTCTATCGCAGGTTTGCAACTGTTCTTTCTGAAGCCAGAATGTGTACAAAAGTTATGGGATTTTAAAAACTTGTTTAAGTTATTTTTTTTTTTAATGTTTGTACACAACAAACTAAAAAATTCAATTTCATTAAATTAAACCTTTATGCTAACATGGTAAACGGCTTTTTTTAATCTATGAAGAAGCAGCAAATAATGAAAAGTTTCGATTTTTAACGATTCTTGAATTGCTTATGACCAATTTGACAAAATTAAAGTTTGTCTGTCGTTTCAGATGAAATTGATCAGCCTGTCTTCGTTGTTTACATCAGCCCACATCATCTTCAGCATTGAAGGCATATAACCAATGAAAAATAAAAAGAAATTACGAGCACTAAGGCCGATTGGAACAATAAAAAATAAAAATAAAAAACATATCGTTCAGCTTACGGACAAATATAAAGCGAATTTTTTTCCAATTTTTACGAACATAGCAAGAGACTCGACTAAAGAGAAATCACCCAGACTCCCGACTGAAAAGGATTCTCTTGACTAGGCTATGGAAACGACCTTGTTGGACCTTGTACAACGAGCTCTCAACCTGGTGGATAAGTGGTTTAAACAGGAGATCACTCACCATAAAAACTTAATAGTTCCGTTCAGAAGGAAAGGGGCGATGGGAAGCTTAAAAGTACCGAGCTAAGCGGGATACCGATTCCATTCTCCAAAGAAACCAAATATCTATGGGTCATACTGGACCAGCGGCTCACATCAAATCCGGATCTAATTAAAATTACCCTAAGAGCCAAAATTGGCTGGGGGTGCAGAAGGCTATTTGCTAAGAGATAGGGATTAAACCCTAAAATCGCCCTATGGCTCTACACCTGTGTAATACGACCAAATGCGGGCTTGGAGGTGTTGTTAAACCTTCCACTGGTCCATATTCTAATCTAAGGACAAGCCAGAGGCTTCTAAATGGACAACAATCTGCAAGGATAGGCCATGTCAACGAACAATGGAAACTGAGGGAGGAGGTACGGACAGATGCCATTCAACGCATGCCAGTCGATGCCACACTCTAAAATATAACTTCACCAACAACAAGTACGAGGTACTTATACCAGAAAGGGAAGAATGAGCCAAAGGAGTACCTCTGAACGAAAATTCCTGTTGGTATAATGACGGCTCAAAAACAGATAGAGGCATGGGAGCTTGCAACTGAGAGGAAAATCCTCAAGTAGGACACTACAGAAACGAGCCACTGGCTAGGCTATGAAGGATGATTAACAACACAAAGCTGGCAGTGAGTTATAAGAGTTATAACAATAGATAGCACAATAAATCTTTACAAGGTGCAAAAGGCCTTTAATCCCTATCCCTATTTCTACTAAAAACGACAAGAGCTTGTATGCATCTGAAAGACCAAAATAATGGGAAGTGACCAAACTGTAGATTCCTAACTCCGTAGATGTGAAAAGTCAAGCAAGTAAACGTAGTGCAACAAGTGAGATCTGCACGTGATATGAACTCAACGATTAACTAATTCTTCTTATCATTTATCATCAGGTTGACAAACCAGAACACGTGGTTTGTAGCATCTTTTGTACGATGTTTTTGTACTTTCTCCAAGGTGGAATTATTGTATTGCTGTGTAACGTATCCTCCTCAAATTCTCCTAAAGCTGGTTGCATTGAAAGCTTGGCCTTAAAGACTAAAGCCTCAAATAAATTAAAAATATATACAAATTAATTAATTATTTAAAAAAATAATGGACACAAAATAACGATGGAGCTTTCCAACAAGCTTTGACCCGTACAAAATAATTTATTTAAAAAAGAAACATAAACTAAAAAAACAAAATATATTTATACTGATAATTCGTTCGAGTATTATTCAGTTCCGTTGGTTTATATTTCTCTATTGCCGCACCTAAAATTGAGACTTTTTTTTTGAAACTACAGACTTTTTCCATTTTTCTACGCTGGGCAATTTTGCAAGCAGAGACCCGTTTTTAATTAAGCATTCCCTGGTCTCGATTTCATAGATTGCACTCTTTTCATTTTTTCGCCATTGTTCCAGACTAAAACGCAAAAAACTAATTTTTTGTCGTTCGTTGCGACAACTTTTACTAACAGCAATTTGTACTGAAAAATGGTGATAAACTGAACTGTAGCTCAGTAATTCGTTCAGGTTATTATCCCAAACTGGATTTAAGCAAACTGACAGATAAACTGAACGTTTATGGAGCAATTTAAGTAGAACGAAAATTAAATACAAAAACACAATGAACTGAAAGGTCCTACCATCATCGTTTTGGTATATAGTCGCTTTATCCTAGAATGAACGGTTAGTGAAGCTCAGTGTTGACCAGGCTTTGGATCTAATAGATGTGAGAGATGCTGAAGAGGGTGGCTGAGCCCTCGTCAAGCTATAGAACGAGACGCCGTAGAAGGACTAAGTAACCCCTAACTCAACCCCCTTTGCCAGCGAGCCTCCATCGTGAATCCCCAACGAGGCTCAATGTTCATAAAATTTATTAGCCTCCGCTGCTTTACCAGGCTTCTCCAAACATCTCCTGGGTCAGAGGGAGAATATAAAAGGAGAGAATAAAACCTTCCAGAAAACGAATAAACATTCCAATAACGGGAGAAACCAGAGCCTACAAAATAATAAAGTCGTCCTACCATACAGAATGATTTAACATTCAACTTTCTCTTGAGCGCCACAAAATTATTTTGTACCAGTTATCTTTATTACCTCATCTAAGAGACATTTATTTGCTCCTGTTCGTGGTTCATACCTTAATATATTGTTTAATATTTACGCTTTTCTATAAAAACTGGTGTACTTTAGTGCTTTTTTGGAATAAAACGCACGACAGCTTTCTACAAAAAAATCAGTGTCTGAACATCACATATCTAGAACTTTTTCACATTTAAATTTTTTCTTCTAGAACATACAATTTGTCGTACTTGTATGCGGCTTAATCCTACTTTTATTTTGAATGAATTTTTGTTTAGTAATGTATGATAAATATTTCACTCGTCATATTGGCAAATACATTTTTTCTATATTTCCTCCATCATTATATCAGCTTCAAACTACACTGATCCTGTCAAAAAAATGTAATAAATTAAAACCTTCAAAATATAAAAATGTTTTCCAAACATGAATTATACGTTTAAAAGAAGAAAATCTAATGAATGAAATGAAAAACTAAATTTTCATATTTTTCATCATACTTTTACCAAGAAGGCCAAGAAATATGTTCCTGTCGTTCCTGCTTTGATTTGTCATCTAAGCTGAATATTTTTGAAACATCCAATTTACCTTTATTTATTCGTAATTTTATGTAATTATGTATAATTAATTAAGGTTTTTAGTTGAGATAAAAAAGTCGATGGCACGAGCGGGATTCGAACCCACGACCTTCGGCTTGGTACGCCAAAAGGTGCGGTTGAGATGGGAAGTTGGTGTCCGAGTGGATCACGGCGTATCAAGCCGAAGATCGTGGGGTCGAATCCCGCTCGTGCCATTGACTTTTTTATCTCAACTAAAAACTTTAATTAATTGTAATAAATTAATTGGTCAAGCGGACCACGAAATTTAGTGAATTTAATGAATGAAAATGAAGTATAATTCACTAAAGCTCTCCGTGGCCATTTAATTTGTCGTCGAGAATTCAATCCGATTACACGACATTTGAAAAATGGCAAAAAGGAGGGAAAACTCAAAAGGTGGGGTTGAGATAGGATGTTGGTGTCCGAGTGGATCGAGGTCACGATAGCTGGTAGAGTAGCGGCGTATCAAGCCGAAGATCGTGGGTTCGAATCCCGCTCGTGCCATTGACTTTTTTATCTCAACTAAAAACCTTAATTAATTATAATATATTAATTGGTCAAGCGGACCACGAAATTAGTGAAATTATGTATAATATTTATTGAATGGGTACAAACTAGAATATAACACTGGCTTTTACTGAGCTTTCCTCGCTTATAATGTTACATACAGTGGCAACATATTAACATAAAAAAAACATTTCGTTTAATAAAAGTTTAAGAAATAGGAAAGGAATAGGGGGAGAAAAGAAAAAGTAATTGTCCTTGTTTCTTGCAATGAGAAAAGGCCAATAGATTCAACGAATTGCTAATCTTAATTCCTTCGTTTGTTTTTTGTTTAATTTAATCCTTTTTTTTGTTCAATTTTTCTTCTTTCTCTCCGTTCTTCGTTAGACAAAAATTTTGCAGTCTACGATACATCTTGCAATTTATTAATCTTTTTTATTGTTTAATTTAAGCTCCTGTGTATGAAGAATTCTGTCAATCGATGGCCCTCGGGTGATCTGAATCATCTGAAATGTAAGATTTTTTAAAAAATAAATATAAAATTCCATTCTACACACGGACATTAAAATTAATGTAAATGCCAAAGCCCGTGTGTGTATAGAACCATTGCTTCAATCGTCTCACTTAATTGAAGGATGTCATACCGTGGTTCCGTATAGGAAGCGTGAGCGCACACCAGACTCCCAAAACGAAAAGTAAGTTATTCTCACCGCTTTGGCGGATTAAATCGTAAGTTGGGCCTGTATCTGTGTGAATATATATGTGCATATATGTGCAGAGTTATAATATATAAATTAGTAAAAATTTATATTTATGTGAATTTCTTATTAGATAAAAACTGTGATTAAAAAGATTTTGAGAATGGAATTGTTTACTATTTATTAAATTTTCTATTTTTATCTATCTTGGAGAAAATTTCTTCGTACCTTGAGAGAAAAATCCTTCACTACTTATGTAAAATATTTCTGATACCTTAAAATTAAATTTAGAATACTTAAATAACTAGGTACGAAGAGTAACACGGAAGAAAATATTTTACCAAACATTTTTTAACTCATAGTACGTAAGGTGGAGAATTCAGAAAAAAGACTTCCTCCTTTGATTTACTGCTGACTTCCTGGGGTGTGATGCCACTCCACCCTTCGATTCACCATTTCCCAACCTTCTCCGATCATAAATTTATTTCTTACTTTGTTATTTGTATTAATATTTATTATTTCAAAGATAAGCGAAAAAGGGGCAATGATCAATGTTGACTGGCCTCCACTACAGAAATACGATTGTTGTTTTTAAATTTAACAATTTAAGTCCGTCAAGATGCCACAAGCGTTTAAGCAAATTTCTGCAGCCGTCGTCTTGCAGTTAGAGTTCACTGTAGTTCCGAAAGAAGTGAATTTATAGTCGGATAGTTCAGCCCACGGTGCAAGGAACATCTCGGTCCGTGGCAAACTTGCACACTATAGCTTAAGCAGCTTAGGCGGCACATAATAGTATTACTGTTCTGAATTTCCTCGTGACCACAATTAATTGCCGACTAAATAGATAGTAAAAATAAAAAAGCATTACACAAAACAAAACAAAACTGTATTTGTACAAAAAAAAGATTTACTATAAAAATATTTGAATATTATAAAATATTGTCTGAGTGGATCGAAGTCGAAGAATCATAGCTCAAGTGGTTAGAGCAGCGTCTTATTTAAGTGAAGGTCGTGGGTTCGAATCCATATCGAGGCAGTAACTTTTTCAATTCAACCGAAACTTTACATAAAAAGATTAATTATTCGAAAGAAGAAATTTGGTCAATAGACCACTAAATATAATAGATTTAATGAGTTAAAAGAAGTATTAACAGCGGGAACAGCTCCGCGTGGCCACTTTATTTGTTGCCGAGAATCGAATCCTGATTACACGACATTTGAGAAATGGCAAAAAGGAGGGAAAATTCAAAAGGTAGGTTGAAGTGGAAAGTTGGTGTTCGAGTGGATCGAAGTCACGAGAGCTCAAGTGGAAGCGCAGTGGCGTATTTAGCCAAAGGTCGTGAGTTCGAATCCCGCTTGTGGCACTAACTCTTCATTTCAACCAAACTTACATAAAATAATTAATTAATTCAAAGAAGCAATTTGGTCAACAGACCACTAAATATAATGGTTATAAAAAGTTATAAAATAATATCTCTTTACTTTTCAAGTTTAAAATATTGTGATGATATTATTGGTCAAGCGGACCACGAAAAATAGTGAATTTAAAATATTGCATTGATCAATTGATGTGTGTATGGTTGAAAGATATTGTGAAGTTTGTTTGTCCTCTACTTTGTCTCCCTTGTTGATTTTATTGCCAAGCAGACTGAACCACGTTTTACAAAATAATAAATTCTTGCTTAAATAAATAAATTTTAACAGATTTTTTTGCAGCTATGGTAATAGTACAATATTTATAGTCAGACAGAGTACTTCGTAATTTAATTTGATCGTTGCTGATAATTCTGGTTTGTTTATCTTGCTGGGTTGGTTTGTCATTGAAAATATATCCCACATAATTTGTTATCAACCTTAAATATTATAATTTTATATGATATGTATCAACCATAAAGTGAATAAGAATTTCTTTTTTATGCTCTAAGGCCTGAAAACTATACTGGTCATCGCCAGCTTCTCTTTATTAGCTTTGTTTTTCCTTTCTTATCTTTATCGCGTTTTAAACCTACTAATTTCTTTTACTTTTCTCCAGCCATGTTATGATATTTTATGAATATAACGGTTACCAATTCCCTCTTTTCTTTAGGCTATTGCTAGCGTAGCATATCCTCGTCAATTGTGGATAAAACAACACACCTAACAAACGTATTGCACATAATCACAGAAACAAGATAAAATCATGATAGGCTGGATTTAGCACATTTCCCCAAAGTACTCGATATTCCACGTGGTAATTGGGGATTCATTCACGCTAGTGAATACGTTCACACACCTCAGCTAATTAGAGTTGTTTTTGTTATATTATTATATTATATTACATCAACATTAGAGCGCTACAAACTACTTTGTTGTCTTTATAAATTTTCTATTATAAAATTATAATAGTGGAGAAATAATCCATTAATCAAACGGCTAATACAACACTATTACATCCTCACTAGGTAGAAAATCGAGAAGTCATTGGCACTAAAGGAATCTTAGAGTATTGTTAGAAAGGATTCTTTTTTCTTTTTTTTCTTTTTTTAAGGTTTTGATTACAAATGGGATTTGAAGGTCTGTGTGGGTACAAAAATTGGATAAGAAGCTTGATCAATGTTACGAAAAATTGTGGACTGGAGTCTTTGGAGTTTGGGATTTTCCATTGACCGTCACAGTTAAATTCCGTACATCCAGATAACTGTTAGTCTGAAGATCACTCGATAAGACATTTATTTTGTAGTGAGTGGCTTGATCTGTTGACAAGTAGTATTTTGAGTCTGTGTGTTGTCTGTTCAGTTCTTTTCTTTTGAATCAAGCGAGAGGTTTCGAAAGTAAATCATTTGACAACGTAAATTCATAAGTAGCCCATGGCATGTTTTGCTGGGAGAAGAAAAAATTCGTTATTAAAAAATGTTGTAAATTGGTCGAGGGGGATACGGATAATGATGACAGTTATTGCCTTGGATTTGCTTTCGTTGAGTTTGACCATTTTTTAACCATTTTTCCAAACAGGAGGAATAGTCCTGGAGGTTTATGGAAGTCATTATTGACGAATAGGTAAGAAGACATTTAAAAAACATCCTCTTTGTCAGGTCGTTGAAAGTTTGCTTATTACTTCAAAGTGTTATTAACCAATTCAAATTTTGAACGGAAGATAACTACATTTTTTTATAAAGTAATAATCATGCTATTAATCAATCTGTATTTAAGGTCTTGGTTGAGATAAAAAGTCAGTGTCCCAAGCGGGATTCGAACCCACGTTCTTCAGTTTGATACGCCGCTGCTCTACCACTTGAGCTATCGTGACTTCGATCCACTCGGATACTAACTTCCCGTCTCAACCTCAACTTTTTTGAATTTTCCCTACTTTTTGCCACATTATAAGATATACTTATTAACTTATTAAATTCACTAGTTTTCGTGGTCCGCTTGACCAAATAATATCTTTCAATTAATTAATCTGTATTTAAGGTATTGGTTGATATAAAAGTATACTAAAGCTCTCCGTGGCTATTCCATTTGTCGCCGAGAATCAAATAGATTACACGACATTTGAAAAATGGCAAAAAGGAGGGAAAATTAAATAAAGGTGAGGTTGAGATAGGAAGTATTGTCCGAGTGGATCGAAATCACGGTAGCTCAAGTGGTAGAGTAGCGGCGTATCTAGCCGAAGGTCGCGGGTTCGAATTCCGCTTGTGACACTGACTTTTTATCTCTACCAATACCTTAAATACAGATTAATTAATTAAAAGATATTATTTGGTCAAGCAGACCACGAAAACTAATGAATATAATAATCATATTACAATTAATCAAGGGTTTTAGTTGAGATAAAAAAGTCAATGGCACGAGCGGGATTCGAACCCATGATCTTCGGCTAGATACGCCGCTGCTCTACCACTTGAGCTATAGTGACCTCGATCCACTCGGACACTAACTTCCCATCTCAACTCCACCTTTTTGAGGAGAGAGGGAAAATTCAAAAAGGTGGGGTTGAGATGGGAAGTTAGTGTCCGAGTGGATCGAGGTCACGATAGCTCAAGTGGTAGAGCAGCGGCGTATCAAGCCGAAGATCGTTGGTTCGAATCCCGCTCGTGCCATTGACTTTTTTATCTCAACTAAAAACCTTAATTAATTGTAATATATTAATTGGTCAAGCGGACCACGAAATTAGTGAATTTAGTAATAATCATAGGTGATCTTCTGGATTTATAAAATCCCAATTTTTATTTTCGTTAAACTTAAAACCATAAGTTTTAAAATTTTGAAAGTATCTTTATATTTCATAACAACTTTAATTGTTAACGAATGTTTCAAATACTAGATCGATGGAATATATCCCTCAAAAGCAACCAAAGGAGATGGGTATTATTTTTGTTGGGCAAAACATTGATCATTTTTAACTAAAAAATGAATGAATATATACTATATACTATAATATGAAAATATTTGCACTTCATTTGAAAGGACAATTCAATTATTAAATATGGGCATTAGATTATTACTACTTAACTTCCTAAAACTAAAAACGCGTAGTTAATTGCTGACATAAATGATGGGTCTGGATTTCAAATAAAACATTGGCATTGTGAGCTATGGAAAAAAATTCTGAACTCATAGTTAATGTAGCAATAAAACGGAACATTTTAAAATAAATATTCAATAATTTTATTGAACTGCTATTTTCTGTATGTTTGTTTTAGGTAAAAATTGTATGAATATAAATTGTGCGTACACACTGTAAGAAGAAAACTGTTGAGGTGAAAGAGGAGATTTATCAAAAATTAATTATTATATTATAAAATACACATAGGGTTAGCTGAGAACAGGCGTTCAGAATTTTTAAGTAAATTATCAATTGCTGTACGGAGCAACACAAATGTCTTGTAGATATGGTTTTTCCGCCGGATCTCATTGTCAATTCCTAATTTGCGGCGGAAAAGGGAATATCCAACTATTGATTTTTTGAATTGCAATGCACATCTCTAAAGAGACATTGCAATTTACTGTTTCATGCTAGGTAAACTTCTCTTCCATTTCCACCCCCTTTCTTAGGCCGGCCAAGCTCAACCTTCCTTGTGGTAGATCCACTTGTGTCTGATAATGAATTTAAGAAGAAGGAAATGAACTTTGTAAAAGAATGGTTACTCTTAATAACAGAATGTATTACTTCACATATCCCATTAAAAAGAATATCAATCCTATTTTATTACAACTCGAACTTATCAAACAATGCCTTCGAGCAATGAGACATGACATTGCTGATGGGAAAAATCAAATAAAGACAAATTGAGTCACAAAATGCTGACGTTAACATTAAAATTGTTTTTTTGCAAGACGTAAATTTTTGCCTGCAGTTGAGTCGTTTGGATATCAACAAAGGATTGTACACAAAGGGTTTGAAAATCCATTATCCAGTTTTTCAATTATAAAAGTTGGCTTCTTTTTTCTCCCCGAGCGTCGCCCGATGAACACTTTTTTGTTCTCGTTTAAGCCTCTATTTACTTTTTTTTTAAATATTAGTTTTTTCTGTTTATCGAGTAATTCTTTGTGGGAGTGCCTTGGCAAGCTTTTGTAATGGAAATATTTCCGGTTAATCGGGAAACGGGAAACTGGTAGACATAGAGGGATACAATTTATAACGTCTTTATATCAGGCCATTGGAAAGGTCGGCTGGGGGCGGATTCGGACCAGTTTTTCCAGATTTTCCATTATCCTCGTGAGAGAGAGGAGCTGTGACGACGTGAGAGGAGATTTATCGAACTCCGATAACACAGATTTCTTTGTTCTCCCATAGGAGTAAATTGACCGCGCTGACAGTATTTAAAAGCTCGACAATTGCAGCCACACCATAGGCCGATTCTCACTATCATTTTGTAATCAGTAATAACAGCAAGCAGATATACTTTAAATTGGATATAGATGTAATAATTTGGGTGCGCCCTTTAATAGCTATTGTAGCCCCGTTCTCTGCCAAAGCACATAGGTGAGTCCTATTTCATCAAGAAGCTTGATTAATAGGCCCTGTTTCAGTGGTTGAATCTCTTCTATGGTCACGGGGATGTAGACCGGAAACCCTGCTTTGGATGTACACCATGATAGTAAGACCCATACTTACATACGGAGCCGTAGCCTGGGCCGATAAATCAGAACAACTAACTAAAAGAAAAGAACTCACAAAAATACAGAGACTTGCATGCATCTGCATAACGGGAGCAATGTGAACATGTCCCAAAGTTAGTATGGAAAAAGTATTGGGATTAATCCCCCTACATCACATGGTGACGAGGACAGCACAGAAAACCATCGTTATTGTTATCAAAGAGAAACCTTCAACAGGAATAAAACTAAAATGGAGAGATAGCAACATAATAATGAAAGACCATCCGATCCTCGTGGCTTCAAGAGAGAACATAAACAGGATGTTTGAATTTAATCAAAACTTCCAAACAAATGTAGGTACATATCTAGATAATCCAGGTAAAAAGAATTGGAACGAGAGGGAAACACGTCCTTTAAGAATGGCACCATCTTTTGGTACACAGATGGAACTAGAACGTAAGAAGGTATAGGGGCAGGAGTATTCTGTCCTGGAACGAAATACTCAGAACCCATGGGAAAATTCATCAGTTTCATCCAAACTGAGATTCACGCAATCGAGAGATGACTTAACTCAACCTGATTAAAGGGTACCAAAAACAAGAACATAGCTATCATGTCAGATAGCCAAACCGCCATCAAAACACTAAGCTCAAATATCATTAGTTAAAGATGGTGTTGAACTGCATAAACATATTTTGTACGTAGAACAAAGTCAGCCTCAGCTGGTTCCCAGGACACATGGGTGTAGAAGGCAACGAGAATGCGGACACCCTTGCAAGGAAAGGAACTGTTACACCGCTGATTGGACCCGAACCATTCTGTGGCAGAGGAAACCATACTATTAATGAGTATCTCTACTTTTCCCGCAGGTGGTATACTAATCTTCCTCAGACGTCCATTTAGTCTGCAGCGTCCTGTTAGGTTCAAAGTTTTCCCTGCTCCTCTGATACAGTCTGTTGTTTCTTTCATTCCAAAATTGGCGAGAAGGTTCTTGGATTTTTTATATCCAGTGTAATGAGTGAATTCACCTATTTCCTCATTTTCGTTTTCTTCTTTTGTCTAAAGTAGTGTGAACCCTAAAATAAGGGATCACGCACGAACGACGTTCCAAAACAAAGTACCCAAAAATATAAAAAAAGCAATTCTTTAGCACAATTTTAATTAAGGATTACAAGTTTCAAAACTGTAAAAAAAGTTCCTCAATTAATTATACACAATTTTTTTGAAATGAAAAATTTGTCACTGGCGGGATTCGAACCCAAGACTTTCGGCTAAATACGCCGCTGCTCTACACTTGAGCTACCATGACTTAGATCGCCCATGCCACAAACTTCCCATTAAGCATTAATTGAGTAATTATAAAATTACGAATAATTTGATAAAAGTAATTAAAACATGTTCCGTATTTCCAGAGAGTCTTAAAAATCAGTGCAGTAAGAAACGTGTTACCACATTAAGTAGTTACAATGAAGTTGGACGAAAGTAAAATTTTAATTGAAGTTTAGAAAAATCAACAATGTTCTAGATCAAATTATATAAAAGTGCACCAACCTGAGTTAGTTTGAGCATGTGTAAGCACAATCTATTATATTTACGTCTTCTTGTCTTAATTTATAGAGAGACTTACTGTTGAAAAATGTTATGTCCGTGGAATGTCTGCAGGTTGCTCTACGTTACGAAAAGTTTTATTTAGACTAGTTACACTGGACTGAAACATGCTATCATTTATTTTCTACGCTGTTATATTTTCAATTGACAGTATCAGTAGTCGAAGATTAATAAACATTTACATTATGGTAAAAACTGCCAGCATTTTTCATATTTACGTTTGAAATGTTTATATTTGTTCAGTTTGAAAACATGACCTAAGGTTTTTGTTTAGCTATGACATCAAAGGAAAATGTATTTTTAATTTAATTCGGGTAAAAATGGGTCAGTGCAATGGGTTAATGCACGTAATAGTTTTACGAAAACGAAGTTTTCTTATTGTAAAATAAATAAATATATATATATATATATATCTTTTAAAATAATAAAACTTTCTTTTCATAAAATTATTACGTGCATTAACCCATTGCAGGGATCCATTTTTCAAGAATAAAAATATTAAAACTAATATAAAAAAAGGAAAAATAGTGGTAAGAGCAACATAAATTTGTATGGTATTCACGTCTTGAACTAGCATTTATTTCGAGTCCCTTACAAGATATGTTATTACATGTCAACGAGATTGAGGTATATCGACGAGTATTCCCAGGGGTGCGCGGAATTGGACGGTAGGTGGGTCGGTTTGTAGAAATGTAAAAGGGGTTGCTGTTTATGGGATTGGGAACCAATATCTAAATACCGGCGTAACGTGGGCTGACAGCTTTGCTAGACGAGGCAAGAAACTGGAACCGCGCTCGGTTATTAATATTGAAAGTTAACTTTGTACAGGCCCCATTATCCTGTCGTCAGTCAAGTTACCTTTGTTAAACTTGACAGCTGTTTCTACAAAACTTAACCAAAACAGCGTTTATGCTACAACACCGACCGATTCCTACAACATGCTCTAATTGGGCCTTCAACATATACGAGATAATATTTATGTGACGATTAATATTAAAGTTAGGCAATAGTCAATGTCAAATTATAAACATATTAAAAATAAAAATGACCTTCATTAATATTCCAAATAAATTGTTATTTAGTATTTTGTAGTTATAGATAGTTGTTATTTAAAATATAACAATTATTATTACCAAATAAAAAAAAATTTCCGAGCAGAAGTCGTATCAACCCTCGGGGTGCCGGTGTTTTTGTAAAAAAATGTAAGTTCTATTATAATATAACACCTCCCAATGAAGTTATATTTAAAATAAATAAATTTAAAAAAAAAAAGCCTCTGTAAATAAGCTGTTGAAAGTACTACGGGTGGTTTAAGTCACGAGCTATTTAATATGTTTATAATTTTTCCTCTTATATTTAGTGGTCTATTGACCAAATTACTTCTTTCAATTAATTCATCCTTTTATGTTAGGTTTTGGTTGAGATAAAAAAGTCATTGTCACGAGCGGGATTCGAACTCACGACCTTCGGCTAAATACGCTGCTGCTCCACTACTTGAGCCAAGCTGTCGTGACATCGATCCACTCGGACACCAACTCCCCATCTCAACATACAACATTTTCTCTCCTTTTTGCCATTTTTGAAAATTCAAGATAGCTCGAGTGGTAGAGCAGCGACGTATTTAGCCGAAGGTCATGTGTTCGAATCCCGTGCCACTAACTTTTTCATTTCAACCAAAACCTTATATAAAAAAATTAATTTATATTTTTTGTTTTGTAGGGAACCTTTTCCCAAGACAAAGTTTTTCTTACTTTCACACACTCTCTCTCTCTCTCTCTCTCTCTCTCTCTCTCTCTCTCTCAAAAGTAGAGGTGGAGGATTTCAGCAAATTTTCAGATACTAATAATATTTTGTAATCTGAATGTTGTAATTAGAAAGGTTAGTTTACCTGTTTAACTTGATTTCGCGGGTTCTTTGAGTGTATCGAACTTAAATCACTTTTTTATAAAGTTTCTATTAGTTTTAACTCAATGTCATAAATATTTATCTGAAATTTAAAAATAAGTAAGGAATTAAGGTAAATGCAAATATATATACATCAGATGGCAAAAGTTGTATCAATTGGAGGGAAGTCTACATCGAACTTGATAGTGGTAAATGTAAATAATAGTTCGAAAATAAAATCAAAACAAACAAAAATTCGCAAACACTACTGCAATGTTGAAAAAAGTGATTGTCCAAAAAAAATACTGTATAATTTTTTTCCCGCTCGACACACTGCACAGTCGTGTGTATGTTTTTTACGTGTATTGATTGAATTGAACATTTTTAAGTATGTATTTATATTATGTTTTTATAAAACTTTCACGCTTCAAGAGTTTTTAAAAAATGTGAAACACATGAGAAGAATACTAATTTGCAAATTGCACAATAATAAGGAATAGGATTTTGAAAGGTCCAGAACCGCTCCTGTGGATCGGAATTGAATTCCCTAGCTTCAAAATCCTGTTTTTGGTCAAGGAAGGCTCCGCGCCGGAACCGAATTAGCACGGGTTGGCGACGATGGGATGGCTAAGCTGCTTAACAGCTAGAACAAATAGAAAGGACTTTCCTTCCTACAAAGTATAAAGGCTAATGACTTCCCAACTGTATTGTTATCTTCTATTTTGTTTTCTCATTTCTCTTTTGTAATTGAGACCGAGTAACACCTCCCGGAACGGCGAGTCTTAACGAAAAACCCATTCAACAAAAATGACACGTGTTTTTTAACGTTTTACTACTTCATTTATCAAATAAATACTTTTAAAATATTTTTGATTCTTCCAGGGTCATTTTTTCTTTGAACCACACGAGTACGTAAGTTGCATAGGTTTCGTCAATAAAGCCAGAAACATAAACAAATTTTTAACTAAACAAAAACTTCATTTTTGCTAATTATAATCACGCGATAAGAAGCTGTTGTTAATGTGATGTTTACCTTGTAAATTTAAATAAAGTTGATTTTCATATAATTACATTTTTATTAATTTATAAATGTATTATGACCTCGTTTTACTTGCTAACTTCTCACTTCTTATCTCCCAAAAGAAATTACGTTAAAATATTTCACAGTACTGTATATTTATATTAATAATACTAATGTAATAATCGAGGTTGTGTTCAAAGTTGGGAGGATTTCTTAATCCAAAGAGTGTTCTGCCTACCTTTCGACTTTAAACTAATTTGAAGTCATCCTCAGAGCCTTAGTTACAAAAACATACATTTTAGGCCACAGATAATACAATACAAATATATTTATATTCTTATTTCCTTATATATTATAAATAAAAAAATAAATAATCGAATGCTTATACGTATCTCTGTGATCCACATTTTTACTACTCTTAAAAATGGTAGCTTTATGGTATAACAGAAAACCCAATAAAACAACAATCTTCTTTTTACAGAACATTATATGGCTTATAAATTTTAGCCAAATTCACGTATTTCAAAAACCAATGTCATCCAGCACCTCATTCTCCAATATTCGTCTGTCCTCTTCCCACCTGGATTAGTGGTCTTTTTTTGCACAAATATTCTTGTATCCGATTTACTAAACAAATATATAATAATAATTATTTTTATAGTATATTGTTTTTCTTAGTAAACTAGAAGGGTAGTAGTAAACATTGTAGGACAAATACAATTTGGCTCTTTTCAACCTTATGAATTTAACATTTTAACAGTACAAATTGATATAAATGTATTACCAATCACTTAAAAACTATTTCTATTTTAGACTCAATAATGTATACGTATGTAAGACAATTATAATTCCATGATATCTGTTGTGGAGTAGGGTGGTTCTTAATTGACCCGCAAAACTCCGTACACGTTTCAAGGGGTAAATAATTAAATTTTTGTTTTTAATAGGTGGCAAATACTTTTTACATACTTAATAGTTTATTGAGAAAAATGTATGATAATACTTAAGAATGAAAATTAAATATATACAATTCGTTTACACAAAGAAAAATTAAATGAAATTTCCTCAATTATATTCAAAATTCCTAATCAACCTTAGTGGCCAGGGGTTTACAAAAAAAAATTAAAATAAAATAAAAAGACGAAAAGAAAAAGTACTTGGCAGGATGACGACTCGCATTTCTAAACAATCAAAATAAGCGGTGTTGAGCTGGAGGTTACTGCTGGGTTCGACGCCGACGGAAGGTGCCTGTAGAGCCGGATGACAATGCAGTTGACGTAGTAGTCCGTGGAGTGGTGATGTGACGATGTCAAAATCGATGATGAATATCGACCCAAAATCGATTTTAGGTGGGATAATCGATTGCGTAGGCGCGGTGCGTTTTGTGCTGACTCAAGCAAGCGAGAGACTGACTTGCTCCCGTGCAAAGACCCAAGCTAACGGCCTTATCGCTTGCCAAAATAGCTGCCCTCAGCGATTTAAACAGGGCCTCCGGAGGTGAACCTTGGTCAGCCAAAAAACAACAAATAAAATTGAGGCTTCTTTGACCATTTACGTCTGTTTTGTTTGTCTCTTTTGAAATTTATAGTGTGTATTATTTTATAATTTCAATGCCAACTGTGACTAATCTTAATAAGTAAATAGGGGTATTCACGATGTATGTGTTAACCCTGTTAACTTTGTTAGGTCCTGTTAGATCGAGAAAAATGATGACGTAGGTTTGTAAGAATCGGCCAGTTAACATTTCTTGACCTGACAGGCCAGGGCTAATGTAAGATGTTACTTTCACTAATTTCGTGGTACGCTTGACCAATTAATATATTACAATTAATTAAGGTTGAAAAATGGCAAAAAGGAGGGGGTTGAGATAGGAAGTTAATGTCCGAGCGGATCGAGGTCACGATAGCTCAAGTGGTAGACAGCGGTTTATCTAGCCGAAGATCGTGGGTTCGAATCCCGCTCGTGTCATTGACTTTCTTATCTCGACTAAAAAACCTTAATTAATTGTTAGATGTTACGTACTCACATTGCTATCCGTTAGGGCGTAGGTAACCAACATGGCAGCCATAAAATTTAACAGCTGTTTTTTGTTTACACGTATTTTTATACTTAAATACGCATTAATTAAATCAGATCATTTTTTTGTTAATTTCTGATCAGTCCTTATACTCTCATTCATAATAGATACATCCCATATCCTATAAAGGTGTAGGCTTGGTTCTACCGATCGCTAAGCGCAGCATTGCGGAAAAATTAACGTTTAACATGCTATGAAAAGAAGGGGGCGTTCACGATCTTACTGGACATTTCTCTATTCGAGTTACATCGTGAATACCCCTAATGTTGAACAAGTGAAATAGCCAAACCCAAAATTCTTATAACAAATAAGAGAATTCTTTTTTCAATAAATGAAAAAGATTCATTCACTATTCATTAATGCATCCGCAGTAACTGCATCCTTTGTCTAGCGTGCCCTGATAAATAAACCGTCTCGTTACCAGGAAACAGTTTGAAATTAAACGATCCCGTTCCAAACCCAACAAAAACATCAGGCTTTGGTAAAATCCGCCCTTAGAAACGGTCAGGCAGTGTGCATTCATCACTCTCATCATCAATGACTTTTTTTAAATTCCTGTAGGTTTTTATTTTTCCATCATGTAACTGACTATATGGCTCTGGTAGTATAACGTGTTACGGTGCTATGGTTGTGAGAGAAGAATTTAAGATACGTTTTGTTATATCCCTAGTCCGCCATTTAATAACTGACACCATTAACTTACTAAGAATGTAGGCCTGGTCGGTGTACCTGTAGCCTGGTCGTTTTCAATTTTAATATCCATTATTTGGAGGATGTTGGGATTACCACAATGAATTGGCCAGTACTGTCATCTGACATAAATCCTTTAGAACTGTTATGGGACGTGATAAAGATACTGGTTAGACAATGTTCACCGCCTCCAGCAGACGTGTTGAAAAGTGAATTTTCTTACACATGCTTCAATTGTCTCCAATAAAATAAGTACGTTGTAGTTGACATAACGATAAAAATAAGGATAATTTAAAATAAAAAGTACGCTTTTTCTTTGCCTTTTCAATATTTCATATGTACGAAGACACATTTCAACAGAACCTGGATAAAAACTTTGCTACAACTAATTTACAAGCTGAAAATTACTACTACTGTTACTAAATCATGAATCCAATAGGGCTGAGATTCTTAAAGAATCAAATTTGAAAACCCGAAGTTATCCAGCCACCTCATTCTCCAATTCTCTTTCGCCCTCTTCCCAGTACGATTAATTGTCATTATTTTTGCAAAAGTATTTTTTTACGCAATTTACTATACAAATGGCCAATCGCCGGTTTTCTCACATTCTGTAAGATACTTAGGATTATCATATAAACCCAACACTGAAGATGGTGTGAAGCTTAAACGCATCTGACTGACCAGATTCAGTAGGTATAGTTCAAATATGGTGATCCCTTTTTTCTTACAACTTGCTCTTGAAGTTTTTTAATAAATGTTCGGTTCAAAAGAAATTAAATAAATATTTTCATTTGATCTGATTTGTAAAACCGATACGAACCAATTTTAATTGAATATCATTTCCTAGAGATGAAACCGTTAATAAAATCAACTCAAGTTAAAAGGATTTCCGACTCCAAGTTGTAATTTGTCATATTAGCATGTAAAGAATTTTAAATGAGCAGTCTTGCTTTTGACGTTTAATTGGCTGTTAGACGTTATTAAAAGATGCGATGCGCAGAGTACAGAAATTCAATAAAGCAAAATAAATGTACCCTTACTGGCCGAAATATCACAAGTATGGTCCACTGTAGGATAACGAGGTTGATATGTATGATCGATGTGCAAGAGGAGTCGTCGTCGAAAGGGGACGGGAAAATGAAATTGGCCTTCTTTCCAGATGTCCCAGTTTCGCCGATTTAATCTCTTTCTGACCTCTTACAGCTTGTTGTTAATATTTATTCGAGACGTTTTACGGGACAGATACTAAAATAGATGTAAAAATACGGACTTGTTATATATTGATACATCTACACATAAA